ATTGCTTAGAGGGAGCAATTGAGCTTAAAAAGGATCTCACTTCTGCTACAGCATGGGGCTCACAGTGGCTGGTGAACTTTAATTTAGATAAAACTCAATTTTTTTCAGCCAATCGTTATTGCAATAATTTAGACTTTCCTATATTTATGAGCAGTAATGTACTCGATGAGTCATCTACCCTTCATTTTCTAGGATTAACTCTTACTTCTGATCTTTCTTAGAAACCATATATCAAATCCGTTGCAAAATTAGCATCTGCTAAAGTTGCATCTCTTTATCGAGCTTGTCACTTTCTTACTCTGGATTCTATTCTCTCTACAAATCTCATACAAATCTCAAATCTGGCCTTGCATACTGTTGCCATATCATGGGGTGGATTTTCTAATGATGCCCTTTGTCTTTTAGACAAGGTGCAAAAACGCATTGTAAACATAGTCGAACCTGCTCTTGCAGTCAACCTTCAACCATTATCACATTGTCGTAATGTTGCTTTTCTTTCTCTTTTTTACAAATACTATAATAGGCACTGCTCTAAAGAGCTAGCGTCTCTGGTGCCATCTACTAAAATTCATTCTCATGTTACTCGTCATTCAATTAAGTCTCGTCCTTTTTCTGTGACTGTTTTTAAGTGCTCCAAAAACTCTTATTCATCTAGTTTTTTTTCCTTGAACATCAGTTCTTTGGAATTTGCGTCCTTCATCTTGCTTTCCTGATTTCCTGATTCATCTTGCTTTCCTGATATAATTTGCAATCTTTTAAGTTGTCTGTCAATCGTTTTCTTGCTCCACATTCTTCATCTTTTCTCTTCCAGTAACTTCCAACACTAAGTAGTAGTTGCTTGCAGCCTTGTTAGAAGTGAAGATGTTTAAAAAAAAAATGTAAGTATGAATGTATGTATATATATATATATATATATATATATATATATATATATATATATATATATATATATATATATATATATATATATATATATATATATATATATATTAGGGATATTCACTTTAACACAGATATGAAAAGTTTTTCTCTAATCTGAATGCACAGTTGTTTTTGTGCCTAATGGCGTTAAAATAAACTGTGCTAAAGATAATTGAAATAAAATAATATTTAGAGGTTGCTCAATGGCCTTTTAGTTTAATAAAAATAGCATTACGCTAATTTTATTAAACTAAATGTTTTTATTATTTTACGATTTTATCCCATGTTCTGATTTTCAGAAAAATTAAACAAATTTGATGTATCATTGTTCTTTATGAGCTACCTTATCTAATAAAATAACTTCTTTGGTAATGTGACAGACATCTTCCTGTCTGCTATTTTTGTTTGAAAATTTTTTATTAATTTTGATTATTTTAATCCTAAAATAATAATTATAGCTATTATATCAAAGAGAATTAACATGTATTTATTTATTTACATATTATTTATTTGAGCTAAATATTATTGGGTGACTTACTTTAGTGTTTGTAATTTTTAAACTTTATGGCATTTTTATTTCAACCATGTTTTTGATTCCATCACATTCATATAAACTACATATTAAAATTATCTTTGCAAATTAATATTTAATTTTTCAAGTTGAGTTTATTGTGGATATAATTTAATTTTAGCTTGTTGCTGAATATGATTGGAAAGGTAAGTTCTTCAAATGTTCTTTTGACATGTAATCAAAGTGCAATATAGTTAATTGGTCAACCTGAAATGAATCTACCTAACAAATTTTTTCCAACAATAGTTGATGTGCTAAAAATATTTTTCCACTATGACAAAGCTTTGTAACAAACAGTTCCAGCTAGTGCAAAAGCAACAACTATTGATTTAGCCTTATAACTGGAACAAGGCCAGAATTTCAATGACTTGGTACCAGCCCCATATTGTATCAAAAGTGAATGTGCTGATGAATAATTTTATTAAAAAGAATAAAGGAATAGCCAGTGAGCCATAGTTGGCCAGAAAGAAAGATTTAGTATCAAATTAAATTTACTGTTTGACATTTCACACAAGGATGCAAACAAGCTAATTAAAATTTATGAAAGTAATATATTTTTGGGAGACCCACAGAATGCTGGTATGATGAAAATAGCTGGAGAAAATGTAAAACAAATTTCAACAAGCAGAGCAAGCAGCAGAGCATAGCTCTAGCCACTTTAGTCTTGATATGATACTAATAGTGACATTCCCGATGAGAATGATGATTACAATGTGGAAATTCTGGTTTATCACAAGATACTCTCAACCAAATCAACTGATGGTAAACAAAGTCCCAAAATAAAGTACTACATATTCTTGATAAAATTTTGTCTTTTTCAGATGTTTCACCCACAGTTGAGTAAATCAATTCATCTGACAAAAAATTGACTATTTTGCTAAAGCAAATGGAAACCTCTAAAGTACACAATTATCAAGATTAGCAGTCCACTCCAAATGCATCATGCACCAGTTATTAATTAAATAACATTCAACAGAAGTTTATATCAAGCGAGACCACCTATAGTTGTCCACTGGAATAGTAAGATAATGAGAGACAGCACTAACTCCAAAGATCTAAATATTGATTTAGTTTCCAATATTGATTCCAATATTGATAGAGTTGCTATTGGCGTGACTGGTTGCAAATGGTATAGTTGGCATATGTTTCAACACAACAGTATCAAACAAGGGTTCCAAAATTAGTGTGTGCATCCTGCTAGAGAAGTTGATGAAAAAACATCTCTACTTCACTTGCTGTCACCTCATCCTTGAAGTAATTATTGGGAAAATTTACTTTGTTCTTATTGGACCTAGCAGTGGGCCCAACAGCTCTATTTGAATGTTTTCAGAAGTGTTAGCCATACATATATCAAGCCAATTTTGCCCCATTAAATGATGCCTGTCTTGCTGAACCATAGCTTCAGCAACATAGATCATTGGTTGGCTTCTTTCGATAGTTTCTCTAATCAGAGGACTCTTTGTTCTTGCCAAGAGCGACTTGTATCCAACTTGTCTCAAATAAAACTACTACTCATCCCCTGTAATAGTACCACATAGTCTCCATAGGCTGTTTCTGAAAAAGGCTAAATTTTCCTTACATGCCTTAAATCTATTATTGCAATTTTGATCAGTTAACTCCTGAGTATCCAATGTGATATAGTTTTCTTTTTTTAAGAGTGTTATGAATGATTTCATTGGTTGTATATTGATTAATCGATATCAGGGCGTCAATTATATCATGTGTTGCATGAAAATTTTCTCAATAACAACTTGCACACATTCAGTATTCTTAGCTCTATACATGGTTTGAGGGTGCCCTGAGCAAAGATCATCTTCAAGACTCTCACTACTATCTTTAAATAAACCAATCATTTCTTGCCTGTAATGTTTTCAATTATTACAGGCAAGAAATGATTGGCCAAACTACCAGTCTTTATAAGTTTAAAAGACATGAATATTATAACACTATTATTTCTGCAAGTTAATATTTGATAGTCTTTATTTTGTTTAATTGCTGAAGTTTTGGAATGATACTAGTTATAATCTTTGAAGAGATTTGTGGTCTTTTATAACTCTTCTTTTATAACACCATGTCCATGATGTATTTGCAAAGAAAATTTAACTTGGATGGAAGATTTACATAATTGGGTTCATGGTGATCATCATGGTGAAAAAGTTCAAATACAAAATTCAGACAAATTTCATTTTCTGAATTTTGTATTTGAAAAGTTACCCCTTTACTGACACATGTCAGTAGAAGTGGAACATTTTTCTGCATTTCGAGATTTTTTGTCAAGGGGCAGAAATTGGGGACAAAAAAGGAAAAGGGGCAGAATTGCAACTACTATTATGCTAATATTTAGATTTCAAGTTTTATCAAAATATATTTTGATGCTCAAAAAATACAGTTCATATAAAATTTAGAACCCCCTTATTTTTTGAATGTTGTTCATTTTTAGAAAAAAGGTCAAAAATTAAAAAAGTCAACCTGCTTGAAAACTTTAAAAAACATGAAGTAAAAATAACTTCAACTGAAAGCCTCTAAAAATCTCATAGTGTATTGCCTTCAAAGTTTTAAAGTTTTTATCCCCAAGCACATATTTCTAGTTAAAGCTGCAAATTGACAGTCAGAGTTCTATCATCTTCTCTTGAAATTGATCTTGCTTTCGTTGAATTGATCTTGTTTTTTTAATTTGAAATTTTTCTTTTGGAATTCTTTTTCGATGTTGATTATTCCTCATAGAAATTCCCAGCTTTGTTGCAAGTATTCCCATTATTCCATTGTTGCAAGTATTCCCATAATTCAATAAATCCTTCCCATAAATTCCAGTGGAACTTTGTGATTGTCTCATTAACCACTTTAAAAGAAATTTCAACATATGAAATTTTCAGATAAAATAAAATATTTCTTAACGAGTCGTAATTTATTTGTAAAATTGTTTTGCAAACACTGACATAAACATTGTTAACTATCAGAATTATGAACCTATATTATGGAAGTCATTGTGTGTGTATAGTTCAAAAGAATTTACAGAATATATGAGTATGGTGTTATAAAAATGTGGTTTACAAGAAGAATTTATAATTGTAATTAAAATTGTAAATCTCTATTAAATAAAAAAACGCCATTTTATCATTTTTTTTTTTGTTTATTTAAAAGGATAACTGAGGTAAATACATCACTGGAAATTAATTATATTGTATATATAATATAAAATTCAGAATTATGTAGTGTAAATAAAATTTGTATACTTTGATTGCAATGTTGAAAATTTATTGAATGAATTTTTTACTTATTATTGTATAAATCTAACTCTGAACTTAATACTTACACTGAATAAAAAGTGTGGATATACTAACATTGAATAAAATGTGTAACATTATATATATATATATATATATATATATATATATATATATATATATATATATATATATATATATATATATATATATATATATATATATATATATATATATATTAATTGTGCAGAAATCAATTTGATTTAAATCAAATTCAATTTCAGAATTCTGAGTATTATCCGGAAAAATTCAAGAAAACTGTTGAAGTAAGTTATTTTTCAATAACTAATATTTATAAATATAGTTCAAAACCTAAATTTAAACAAAAAAAATTGAAACACTGCATTGTGCTGAGATAATGAAGTATGGTATTATCGTACAACTAACTGCATTTTGTTATAAAAATTTTGATTGGATAAAGTTTATGTTATATAAAATATTATTGTTGTAAGGATTAACAAAAAATGTTTAAAAAAAAAAAGTTTAAATTTTTTACCTGAATTTTTTTTATATATTGAATATGTATCAAATAGTATCTTTATAACAAGAAATTCATATCCCACTTCTCTATGAGAATTGAGCTAATTATCTAATTGAGACAAACTGAATGGCTTTTGTTCAGCTACTAGTAATTAATCAATTGGGTTAAGGTCTGGTGATTGAGGAACCCAAATCTTCATCTTAATACTGTGCTTTATTTTGAACCACTAACTTTGAAGTGTGTTTTGAATCTTTGTTCTGTTCAGTGATGGATCCAGAAATTTTTTTGGGGGGAGAGGAGAGGATGTTGAAATTTTTTTGTATTTTGTACCACTTTTGCATCTCCTTAAAAAAAAAAAAGGTCCTTAATTTCCATGATATTTTAGAACTTTCAGATTCTGGTGGGAGAGATGTGCACCTTTCATCTCCAATCTCCTCCCCTGCCACCCCCTGAAAGATAAAATTGCAAGATTTCTGTTCTTCTGGCACTTAATCTCAGTTTTGATTTCATTATATCAGTATAAACTTTTTTTGTCATTATTCTGTCAATGTTTGAGTTTGCTACTCAGAGCAAACGAACTCCAAACCATCATTTGTTCTATAATTAAAAAAATAAGTAAAAATAAATTATATAGTATAAGTATATAGAAAAACATTATAATAATGGTAGATAATGTTTAATGATACATCCTCCATGTTTGACAGTTGTTCTCATATGTTTAGGATTTAAGCATACATGATTTTTCCTCCCTTTGCGTATGATATCAAAGGAACTTAACAAACATATTTTTATTTCATCTGACCATAATACTTGTCTCCATTGATAGTCATTGCAAATGTTCCTCAGCCAAAGACTTTCTTTTGCTTCATCTTTATAGTGTTCCTGGATCAATTTTTTATTGATTTCATATCAATAAAAAATTGGATCAATTTTTTATTGATTTCATATCATATGGATCAATTTTTTATTGATTTCATATCATTTCACCATGATTTTATTACTAAGAACTTAAAGAAAAATTTATTTTACTCAAAAATTAATTTAAATAACTTCATTCAATCAGATTTGTTATTTTTCTTGCAATTTTAGTTATACATACAATTTTTGTATGCTATCTCATGCAATTTTAGTAACTCGTACATTAAAAAAGTTAAAAAAAAAAAAGGGGGTTAGCTTTTTGACTTTTTTCTGATTTAATTGATAATTTTTTTTTATTCAATTGAAAATTTTTTTTTTTTAGTATAAGAATATGAATTTTTTGTTATAAAAATATTATTAGATACACTTTCTATATTAAAAAAAATATATAGATACAGAATAAAAATATGAATGGGTACACTTTCTATAAAAAAAAAAAAATCTAGATAAATAATAGAAATATTAGTAGAACAATTATTTTATTTTATTGCCTTTTTAACAATTATTTGGGAGTGATATTTTTGGCATGTGGTTTAGAAACTAACTGATGTCACCTATTTACTACTACTAAACTGATGTCATCTATTTACTACTACTAAACTGATGTCACCTATTTACTACTACTGAACTGACGTCACCTATTTACTACTACTGAATTGATGTCACCTATTTACTACTACTGAATTAATGTCACCTATTTACTACTATTGACTATTTCTGCAGTAAAAAGTTGTACAAAGATAGTTAATTATTAGAAAATTGTTGTTAATTGTTGTTGTTTTTATTTTTAGATCACTAATAAACAGTTTGAATGGGCTGTTCTACCTCCAATTGCAAATCTCCACAAGTGGACTGAAGTTGAACATTTGCTAACCTCTACAGTTTGTTTTTTATCGAATTTTTATTGATTTTACTCCATAGGTTGCATATATATTTGTTGGTTGCATATATAATTATCATTTGTTGTATATATAATTATCATGTTGTATACACTTCCGTTCATAATTATTACATAAACCTTTTTAAAAAATGCTTTAATTTGATAATTTTCTGCTTTTTTTGCATCAGATAATTTAATAAATATAAAAGTATTTTGATTTGATAAAAATAATAAAAATGCTTAAATGAGCAAAACTATATAAAAAATGGACCATCAATGACTTTAGTATAAAGAAAAGATTATTTGTTCGAAGAGTCATTGAACATGATAAAACTGTGTGTATTATTTATTATGAAATATGGTGGATTTAGAGTTACAGGTTGGAGCTGTATTGATCGGAAAGCCGCAGGTGACATTGTAAAAATAGAGGGAGTAATGGCAGAAGGTGTTTTGACATTTTTAAAAAGTCATGCTACACCTTCTAAAAATTGGGTTAATTGGAAGGCATTTATTTTTTTAGAAGAAAATGATTCAATCCAAATCAAAATCCAAAACATATACTTCAAAACATTGCATAAGTTATTTTACTAAACTTGCCTAAGTTATTTTATTAAACTTTTATGATCTGATAGGAGAAAGATCTAGTGATGATTATAATGTTGCAAAAGATGACATTATATTAAATGAAAAATTGCAACTTTATGTTTGAACTTAAAGTATTAAGCCAATGATCAGCAATTATCAGCTATATTAATTTTTTAAATCAAGTAAAAAAACAAGTAGAAACAGGTGTTGAATTTGTTTTCATGTCTAAACATTGATATTGTTTCACTCTTTTTATTTAATAAACTTGATTTTTAAAAAATTTAATTTTTTTACTTTTCAATACTTTTTATCTTTGCATCATTTATAGGATTTTTTGACAGAGAAACATTTTCAGTTAAGATGCCTAAGATTTTTTTTAAGCAATATATCACAAGCTTTTGTAACTTTTAAAGCTTTTGTTTAACTTTTAAAGTTCAATATTAAAAGCTATAGATGAAATGTCTATTTAATATTTGAATGAGCAGGAAAGAAAATTTTAAAATATTTTTAATAATATTTTATCATTTTATATGTTGTTAATGAGTTATTTTATCACATCAAAATTTGTTCTTAAAAGGGAAAGAAGTCTTATACTTCTTATAGTATCATTATAGTTATGTATATACCTTATACATTATAGTTATGTATATACCTTATACATTATAGTTATATATCATATAGTAACCTTATATTTGTTAAATTTTTTATTAATTAACAAACTACTGTTGATCATAAGTTTAGCTTATATTGCATAACTTTGACAAGCTTGAAAAAACTGATATCTGAAAAAGTAGAGAGGTTTTTGTAAAAGTTTTTTAATTTCCACACAATCCTAAAGTGTAAAGTATTAAAAATTATATTGTAGACAATTTAAAGTGAAAACTTAAGCTAATATGAAAGTAAAATGAAATATGTGATACAATCTATTGTTTTTATACCCATAGTGAGTAAAAAAGTAATATAATGTAGTAAAATATTAAAATATTTCTTGAAAAATAGCCATAACCCAAATCCATCAGTTAATGCACATGCGTTTCTCTGCAAGTATTACTATTTTCACTTCATGTCTGTATCTTTTTTTTGTAATAAAAGTTGCTTTCAGCAAAATTTTAAATGTATAAATCAATTTATGATCATTATATTTGAATTTTAATTTTTTTTAGCTGGAGATTTATTATGCAGTTTTAAGGCATTTAACAGTTTACTGTTACACGATAACATTCTAAATTACAAATAAATGTAAAATTTAAAACTTAAATAACAGTTCTGCAAGTACGAAAAGCTACTGTATTAAAAAAATGTTGTGTTCAGCTTAATTAAAATGTAATATACAATTCTTATGCTTTGTTAGACAAAATAAATTCAAGCTAGAGGTTCTCTCTTTTTTTTTACAGATATCAAAAAGATATTGAAGACACTCGATTGCTTATTCAATACACTGAATTGTTTTGGAAATTTCCAATCTTGATGGTTTTCGATTACAAAACTTTTTCACTAAGTTTAATACTTTTTTTGACTATGCAAGCTGCTACATAGCTTCCAATAATCATCATTTGTTTAGTAAACCAATGGTTGGCCCATCTGTAAGAGATGAATCGAATAGTGAGTCTCTTCTGTCTGGTAGAAGAATAAATGCCAAAAGAGTGGTATTACTCGGGAACTCCATCTTGCATCTAATTTAGGTATTTTCTGAAAACTTTACTTTAGGAAATACTTCAAACTCTTCAAAAAAAACGGAATACCAAGGTTAAATGAAGTTAATTGATATACTGCCTCAGACTTGGATTCAGAAGTTGACGTTGATACTGTTACTGTTGTTGAAATAGGCTTCAACAACATATTTCATCTTTTGGATGGATGGATAGTTTTTAAATTAGCAGTCTTCCCAGTTATATACCTGACCTGTCAGTTACTTTCCATCTGAAGATGATACAATCTTCTGTCCTCACTACAAAGCCATTCGCCATCTTTTTTTGTGATATCAAAAACTTCATTTAATGTATCATTTTCTTTGTTTTGTACATTTATTGTACGCCTTCAGCACTTGATCTAGTTTTTCCTGTGTGACTTGAATCGTAAAATGAGGAAAATTTAATTTCTTTTGCCATTGTTATTTTTTTCTCAATTTGCTTTATGCGTTCTTGTCTCCATTTGATGGATTCTCTCAGGAACAGATAGCAAACAACATTTTTGATTTTGAGTGGTACCCTGATGTTTTTTTTCATTGATTGTTCTTCTAGTGAAACAGTTTTTATTTTCCTATGTGATAAAATCGTACAAGATTCTTCATCCAGGTTTCTTTCAAAAGTTTCTTTTAAGACATTATTATTAAAGATAATACTTGAATATTTCTGAACAGCAATAATAATAAATATAAGTGCTATTGTACTTTAATATATCTATATTATTTGGCAAATACATATTCATATATTATTCTTAGCGTTGCTCAATCAGGCAGCTTAAACAGTTTAAATTTGACACAGAGTTTTATTATTTTACAATAACTTAAAAAGTCATATATATATAAAGTATGAATTCACATCTTTTACTAAAGTATTTTAACTAAGGTGTTTTCTGAATCTAAATATATATAAATTATTAAAACAGACAGATCTTATAAAATATCAGACAATTCTTATAACATATTGCAAAGTTCTTATCAGATTCCTTTTGTATTGCATTTTATTCCAAAAAATATGTTAATTTTTATGAGCTGTTTTTGGTGTTTTGTACTAAGCCTGAAACTGGTGCTCAAAGAAGCTTAGATTAGGCAATTGATGCCAAGCAAACTATATATATATATATATATATATATATATATATATATATATATATATATATATATATATATATATATATATATATATATATATATATATATATATATATATATATATATATATATATATATATATATATATATTATATATATATATATATATATGTATATATATATATATATATGTATATATATATATATATATATATATATAATATATATATATATATATATAATATATATATATATATATATATATATATATATATATATATATATATATATATATATATATATATATATAATATATATATATATATAATATATATATATATATATATATATATATATATATATAAATATTCACACACACACACACACACACACACACACACACACACACACACACACACACACACACACACACACACACACACACACACACACACACACACACACACACACACATATATATATATATATATATATATATATATATATATATAAATATTCACACACACACATATATATATCTACTATAGCATATTTATGTGCAATTGCTCACTTTTTTGCTCATCTAAATCAATATAGATTTTTGAGAAAAAGAAGAAGAAAACGAAGAATAATAAATGAAAAGGTTGCTGACCCATCCTAAACCCTTAGCCTATGTAGCAGCACTCTACTGCGAGTCAGGCTATTTGTCAGTCGATGTATGTCCTGAAACCCCCGGCAGCAGGCTATTTCAGTATGACGTCATCATGCTCACCTAACTCAGTAGATATATGCATACACACAAGTACACACACGCATACATGTTTTAAAATAAAATGTTTTTGTTTCATTTTAGAAATGGTTAGGAAAGAAAAAAGAGTTTAGTTATATTGGTTATGAAAATGTTGCTATGATATTGTATAAAGCTAAGGCTAATGAAGAGGTTAAAGATTGTCTGTTATGTTTGTTCAAAATTATAAACTATATAATTGTTTTTTGTTTTTTGTTTTTAATTTTGCTCATGTATAGCTTATTGTACAATATTATTGTTAATAAGAGTTTTATTGTGCTAATGTACTGATGGAGTTTCTAGAATTTTGATAGTTTGCGCAAAAAAAGTGGAATACCTAAGTTAAATAAAATATAATAAATTAAATTAAATAAAATGATATTTTTGGTGACTAATATATTTACCATCAAAGTGCAGTGACCACTCTCTAGGCTTTCTTTTTTAATAGTTGGTCTGAATATACCAGGCTGTGAAGGTGTCGGAATGTTGATCCTTGTTGCTGAATGAATAAATCTTGTTACTGTTGTTGAAGGAGGCTTCAAAGGCATATTTCTTCTTATGGATGGATGGTTAGTTTTTGAACTAGCAGCCTTCCAAGTTGTCTTTTGCTTCCAATCTGTCTTTTGCTTTCAATCTGAATATGATACAATCTTTTGGATTGGATTTTCTTTGTTTTTCATGTCTTCAGCACTTGATCTAGTTTTGCCTGTACAAGCCTGGCTAAAAATGAGACTTTTTGCAAACCCGGCTCTGGCAAAATTTTAGGATTTAGCAGAGGTTGATAGCCGGATCTAGGAAAAAATTATAATACTTAATATATTACAATTTTATGCTTACATTTACTATTTATTAAATACTGGCATATATTTATATATTTTTAAACTCTTATTTACTTCTGAGAAGATTGCAAACAACTACTATTAAGTTATGAGTTACTTTAAAATAGAAAATCAGATAAAATACTAGGAAACATATAACTGAAGACATAAAAAGTTGTAAGTTGTATAAAAAAGGAAAACATGAAGTTGGGAAAGAGTTATGAGGTTTTCTTGATTTTCAAAGAAAAAAAACTGGATTAATTATTATATTTTTATAGTATATAAAAATTTTATATACTATAAAAACTTTTTGTAGCATAAAGAGACAAACACAGTAAAAGGATGCAACTTGTTAAATAAGTAGCCAAGCAAGAATGAGTTTTGGTTTATCCTTATAGAAATAATAGCTTGTTTGAGAATTGACCATGATTGTATTTGTAGAAAAAAGAAAGAAATGCAACCTTATAACAATGGGAGAGTGGCTCAAGCTTGGCAGAGAAACCAGGTCTAAGTACATTTACAATGTGCTTTTAGACTTTGTTTGAGAGTGAGAGGGTTGTTATTTGTCAATACAGGAATGCCAACAATATTGCAATTTTTTTTTGCAGTAAATAAATGAGTTTTGTTGTCTAACAAAAATTGTGGATTTTAAGTCCAGAATTTAAATCCATAAGCCTTAGGCTGTTACAGAAGAGAGATCAGATTTAAAATTAGCTGCTAGATCTAAACAATTAAAAAGTGAAGGTTTTTTTTTGCCAGCAAATAGAGCCACTTTAGATTTTATTAAGATCGTTATTGTAGATAAGAAATAATACAGGAGCAAAAATAGAACCTTGTGGTGCCCCTAAAGTTACTTAAAATAAAGAAGAGTGTAGGCCTTCAAGAATAACTTTACCACTACAATCAGAAAGAAATAATTTAATAACATTAAAACCTTTTCATGAAAACACTAATAACAAGGTGAAGACTAATTGTATGATAGTTAGAGAGGTTAAAGTGTTTACTAGAGTTTTGAAAAATTGAAACCACTTATTTAGCACTTTTTAAAAGTTTAGCAATAATTGAAGAGAGTTCTGGAGAACACTTTTTTATGACTATGACATTAGGTTAATTTGTTTAACTGTCAGGAAGAGTATGGCCATTATATTCAAGAGTCAAATTAGAGTAAGATTTTTTTGCAAATAACTCTGCATTATTCTTGGGAGATGTAAAAAGATTAGACCCATTAATTAGAGAATAAATTTTAGACTTGCTTTAGTTAATGAAACTGTTAAAAACTAACCAAATATCTCTAGAACCTAACATCTGAGATAAAGTACAAGATTTAGTAAACTAAGAATAACAGAGCCTAATATCAGACAGGACTTTTTTACATTAGCTTATTGCAATAATAAAAGGGTATTTGTTCTTAGAAGAGATGTTTTTGTAAAAAAGATGAAAAAAATAATTAATGTTGAAAAATGTGGAGCAAAATGAGGCTTGACTTAAAATTGAAGAGAAGTTTTAAAAACTTCTAAAGTTTTATTCCAGAAGGAATAAAAGCTTCCAAGATGCACTTTTTGCATACATATTATAGATATAAACATATCTGTTTGATACTACACAATAAAAATACTTTAGTATTTATATGCTGATAAGATGATCAGGATTAGGTACACCATATAAATACTTTAGTATTTATTTGCTGATAAGATGATCAGGTTGATGTGTGATGTGACTCTAGAAAAACAAGAAAGAGAGGTTTAAAGAGAATCTTAGACAAATTAGCAATTAGAATGTTGTATTGAACAACGTTTATTAAAAAAGATTAAAGTAATTTAGGTATCAGCATGTAGAGAGGTAGCAGTTTCAGTAGAAAATGGTAGTGGTAGAAGTAAGAAAATTTGAAGAGAATGCCTTACATATTTTATGAATGATCTTTAGTCAGGAAAAAAATGCTCTAGATTGTTTATATTAGAAAAACAGCATAAAAGGGGGAAGCCTGATGATGATGATAATAATAAAGATAATGATGATCATGATGATGATCATCATCATTAGGCCTTCCTCATTTATGCTGTTGATGATCATGATCATGATGGTGATAATAATGACGTTGATGATCATGATGATGATGATAGTAATGATGATTATGATGATCATGTTGATCATAATGATGTTTATATATGCATATATATACAAAATATAACATGAATTTTGAATTTTAAAAAATATACTTTAGGATGTATGTTTATGCAGCTACGGTCACAAACCTGGCCCAAGCCCCTGCCCTGGCTATATTTTATCAAATCCAGCCCCGGCCCCGGTCAAATATCAACCCTAGTCACTTACTACATGTAAGTACACTTTATGTCAAAACCATTAAATTTCATTGAGGAAACTAAATGTTATCATTTTTTTAAAAAACAACAAAAATGCAACTTAATAGACTGTAATGTTTTTTGGTTTTTTAATTTAAAAAATGTGAATTATTTTCATTGTATTTTTATATACTCATGCTCAGTGTTGTAGAAAGGTTTTTAAATGTTGGAAATAACATATAAATAAGAAAATATTCTTCACAAAAAAAAATTACTGTGATAGGAGAATGGGAACAAGAAACCCTTAAAGCTTAGCTACTTTTTGTACTAATATTAAATAGACTTAAATTCATCAAGAAATTTTAAAATTCATAGTAAAATATTTTATTGTTCAAAAATTATGACCATATAAAATTTGCAACCCCCTCAAATTGAGGAGGGTTTAAACTTTATATGGTCATAATTTTTGAACACTAAAATATTTTACTTTGAATTTAAAAATTTCTCGATGAATTTAAGTCTAGTTAAAAATAGTACAAAAAATGTTTCATCAACTTGTTGTTCTCATGTTTGGGGCAGCGGGGGCTAAGGTTTGAGGGTTTCTTGTTCCCATTCTCCTATCACAGTAATTTTTGTTTGTGAAGAATATTTTTGTCATACATATGAAAGTAAAAAAATTTGGAATATTCTTTTTGCTTAAAAGTTGGTTATTTCAAACATTTAAAAACTATCCAACGCCTACATTTAAAAAACTTCCTATATATATACTATAATAGTATATGTTATGCTTATACATACATATATATATATATATATATATATATATATATATATATATATATATATATATATATATATATATATATATATATATATATATATATATATATATATATATATATATATATATATATATATATATATATACACACACACACACACACACACACACACACACATATATATATTTATATATATAAACACACACACACACACACACACACACACACACACATACACACACACACACACATATATATATATATACATATATATATATATATATATATATATATATATATATATATATATATATATATATATATATATATATATATATATATAATATATATATATATATTTATATATATATATAACTAGGTTAAAGGTAATGTAAATATTAATGTTGTAAATCAACAGTTAATAGTATTTGTTGTTGCCAGTTGTTTTCAGATTAATCCTGTTGTTAGTTGTTGCTAGATAAATCTTGTTGCCAGGTGTTTTGAATTAAGGTTGTTACCAAATGTTTTTAGGATTTTCTTGTTGCTAGTTGTTTTTAGATAAATGTTGTTTTTATTTACTTTTAGATTAATAAAAATATACTATTACAATAGACTTTTTTATTTTACAGGATTTTTTTAAAATCAAACAGTTATAAACATACTTTGTTACAATGAAAAGCTTTTTATTCAGATGATAAAGTTTGATTTATATTTTTGAATAAATTTGTTTAATTTTTTGCATAAAGTTATGAAATAGTGAAAAATGCATAAATAAAAATTATATTTAAAGCTATTATCAAACTATTTAATATATTTATTAATTTTGTTAACTTATATGATTCTCTGTTGTTTATTATAATTTGTTTTCATATTGGGATTAAATAAAGCAGGTTTTTTAATATTTTTATATTTTATGTAGATAATTTTGAAGTATTTAAAACTAATTGATAATCTTGATTTGAGAATTAAATGGGCTTCTCGTTTCAAATACCATGATCTTGCTATTGATGTAAGTCATTTTTTAAGTTTTAAATACCACAATGATTTAAATACCACATGTTGTATTATTGTAATTTTTTGTATTATTTTTTTCAAATTAATGTTATATAAAAAATGTTATACACCAATCTGGGGGGTACGTAGTGTATAACTTTCCTTTAATCATTAATAATGCACCTCTTGCTGTTTGGCATGCTTCACTCATGCTCTTGATGCCTGATTTACCAGATGATCTGATTTTCATGATAACAAACCTTATCAATATACTCATATTTTTCCACCATATTATTTATTTCAATCTCTTTTCTGACTTCCTTGTATTCAACAAAGGTACATTTTCTACACTCAAAATCAAAAATATCAAGAACATTTTTATAATTGTTACATCTCTTGGGAACTCTTTGCTTAGCAACTGTACAAACAATAGAGTTTCCTCTAACTCCTTTTCATCACCATATTTTTATGTTTCTGACTTGATCATTATTGACTTGGCAATGCATATCTTTTGCCTTTTTCCTCCTAAGCTCTTTCAATCTATCTAACAATGAAATCTTCGTATTAATTATTTTTCTGTCTCTCAATCAAGGCGTGTGCGTGTCCCTATCACATCCCTGGTAGGATAGTGCTAGAGTTGTTTCTCCCTGCAGCAGCCTTGTTTGTTAAATTAGTTTTCAAGGTTTGTGTTTCAGAGTTAAAGGATTGAAAGAAGTAATAACAATTTTCTTATATAAAAAAAAAAGCAGTCTTCTTGTTTGTAATGGCTGCCACTTAGCCTTGAGAACTTGAAGACTTGAGCCTTAGCCTTGAAAAGTTGAAACAGTAGAATACCTGTTTTCTTTATTTTGAAATTTCAAATTATAAAAAAAACTTAAATACTTGAATGAAAAACTTTTGTTTACTTATTTTGGTGACTATTGAATGAAAAATCAACATTTTTAAAAATTTTTTTTTTACTATCCCTAGAGAATCAAATAATATATTCAGCCACAGTCAATTTTGAAGTTGCTGTTGTTGGCTGAAAAAACAGAAAGAGAAAAAAAAAGAGAAAGTTAAGATTGTTAAGTTGTATAATAGAATCAAGATTCTGTTCACAACAAGATTATTGCAGTTTTATGTAGCAATTAGTTCTTTTGTAATTTTTAGATATTCTATGTAAATTCTTAAATTCTAGAGGTAAAGAATGGAATCAGAAGTTAGAAAAGGATAAGCTCGATAAAGAGAAGTAACCTTAGAAGCTTTAGTATGAATTGTATATATGATTTTAATGAGTGGTCAATAGTGAATGATAATCCAAGATGATTTAAGGTTCAAAAAAATTCTGATAGTTGTTTGCAGTGAACAACTTTTATTGGAGTTATATAGAATTAATTACCAGTTATTGCTTAGTTACCAGATCCTGCAGTTATTCCCAGTTATTATCCTATAGAAACTTTACTAATGAAATGAAGCAGGCAAGACTTTGCTTCAGTAATGATGAACAAGCCATGATTTTCAAAATAGTTAAATTTTAAAAATCATTTGAATCGATAACCTTTCTGATCAGTGCTGAAATTTCCTTTTTGAGTTTCAAATTAATTAAACAATTAATTCTTGTGATTTCAATGAAATTAAAAACCTAAGGAAATATTTGTAAAAGAAGTTGACCAAAGAAATGTGTTGTTTTTAATATCCAGCCACATAAAGTTTATATACAAGAGGTGAAATAAAGGAAAGCTTGTTGGAGAATTCTTTAAATTTAAAGTTGATTTTTTTTATTTATTTTTTTCAGGAATTCAGTTAATTAAATTACACATTTAATTACTCAGAGCTTTTTAATAATTTAAGAACTTAAAATAGTTGCTTAATTTGTTTATTATTGCTATTATTGTTTATTTTGGTAATCTTTCTATATCTGATTTTAATTATGGCAGAATTAAACCAAAATTCAAAATCTTAGTTCTAAACTTCAAGAGATGAAGAAAAGTTAAAAAAAATTTAAGGTCAAAGTGGAAGTAGAGTATCACTCACACATCTGCCACAGATAAAGAACATAACTTATTACTCACACACCTGTCACAGATAAAGAACATAACTTTTATCACTCACACGCCTACCATATATAAAGAACATAACTTTGGCATATTCATCGTATCAAGTATTCACACCTAGCAGTACTGGCAAAGAAATATTTTATCATACCAATCTCTAGTGTAGTGGAGTCAATATTTTCAACAACTGGATTAATTCTGATTTAAAACATTTTAGTTCTTCAAACATGAGCTCATTTAAAACATTTTTAACATCAGCTACTTGACCAAGTTACTACAAGTCAGCCAGGTTTGTGGAGTTGTGGAGTTGCAGTCGCAACATTTTTAGCAGAGTCGTAGTCGCTAAACAAAATCGCGACTCCGACTCCAACAGTAAAACTTCTTGGTATTGCATGTGCATGTGCAAAATATTTAACCTTCAAAGAACTTTTTATATATATGCAGCAAAAAAAAAAAATTTTTAATTATCACGTAATATTTTTTAAAGAATTCAAAGAATTTTTTAAAAATTTTGCTTTTGGAGTTGGTACTTTTTTTACAACTCCACACCCCTGAAGTCAGCTATAACTAACAGCCAGCATGTGGTATACTCTAAGCATGGCTGTGACCTATAATAACAAACAATTAACTTTATCACATAACATTTTCTATCTAATCACTATCCAATCAGCACAAGTTTTCTGAAAATATCAACATTGATTCAACATCAAAAAAAAAATATTGAACTTATGTTACATTTTTTAAACGTTTTTGAAAGATAACACTTTTAAAAAATTTAATAAAATATATTTTTTTAAAAGTTTTACAAGATAGGGTAAGAGAGTAATTTATTTTTCATTTTCGCAACTACCTTCGTTTTCGTTTAAGCCAACGTCACCTTCTGTTTCACAGGTATATAATTATGTACGAGTTTCTTTGTCTGTTGCTTTTGCATAATAGTGCTTAATTGATTCTAGAAAATAAATGCAAAAATATTCAAATTTAGTCAAGCAAGTAAAGTTGTATAGAAAGGTGGAAAAAAAAATTTTCAATTTATATTATTTCATATGAATACTTGAAGTTTACAATTTTCATGTTAATTGGTTTATTTTATTTTCTGATTTGTTCAAGAAAAGTTTTACACCTAATTTTTGTGAATTTGATTAAATTCATTTATTTTCTGCAAGCAGCCATGAAAGAGAAATTAACACTTAAAATTAAACTTTAACACTTAGAATAAATCCTATCAATTACAGTCTAGTAAATATTTATCCAAGACAAGTCGTTTTAACAGTGAAAAATCAACGAAACTAAAAATCAACGTGGAAAGACGTGGAAAATTCAGACGTTAAACTTTCTACATCACTAAGACATTGAAACAACGTCGTATTGTTCAACTTTACTTTATCAACGGTAAATCAACGTGGAAACGACATTCCGACGTTAAAAATTTCCACCTTGCTTAGACGTCGACACGACGTCTTTTACTTGCTGGGTGCAATCCGTTCTTTCTTAAATTTTATATTTATCTGAAGCTAATTTTTTACTTTTTTATAAGGTTTGATTTATAATTGACTAATAACTTTCAATAACTTGCTGTTGAATTTGCTTCAGGTGCTAATTCATTGCCATTTTGTTCATAGCTTTTTAGAGACTTAGAGTAGTGGACTGTAGCCAAAATATTGTTGGTATATTATGTTTTTTAATAAATTGCAAAAAGAGTTTTTTTTATATACAACTTCAGGTTCAAAGTTTTATGAATAATGTATGGTATACTTTTCAAGCCACATGAGTAGATTCTTTGTCATAAGGAACTTGGGAGTAACTTTATCAGTTTGAATATGCTTGAATCTACCTTTTAGAAATATTTTGGCAATTGTAAAAAGTCCTTTTTGCATTATGTTTTTGATAAAATTAAACTTAAACGAGAATATACAATCAATTTTTTGGGCATAATTAATTATCTTCAATTATGCACAAATTTTCTTGGATTAAAAGTTTATATAACTTTTTTTAATGACGCATTGATTATATTTCTCTATCAATGGAGATCAATGGATCAAAGCATTGGCTTTATAGTGTTTTTTTTTACAATAATTTTTAAGAAGAACTTTTCCTAAAACTTTAATGACATAGATTATTAATTGTTTATTATTTTAATCTGATAACAATGATAACCAATACTTATTACCATTACAATCAAAACACAACAAGAAAATTTGTTAAGTAGTTTTTGAGTAATTAACAATTAAAGGTGAATTTAATTGTGTTCAACTGATTTTCATCGTGTTCAACCTCATGTGACAGAAATTCAAGTTTGACTTAATATCCCATTTGCGTTTACAATTTATTTTTATCACCTTGTTCAAAATGAAAAGTGCGTTGTTAGACGGTCTTGTCCAAAAATGACAAAAAAAAAAAAAAAAATTACAAAATTTGGTGCTAAAGGAGAACCTATGGCAACACCATCCAATTTTTTTATTTTTCATTTTAAGAACTAAATTTTGGATTTTGGATATATGTTTTTTGTTAATGTTATTTGTCTAAATTTTTAGTGTATTGTTCAGCAACGTGATCACCGAAAAATGGAGGAATATAGAATGAAAGTAGAAAATTCAGACAAGTATCTTTCAAAAATTGACCAATTACTTAATAACTCTGTAAGTATTTTTATTTCTTTATTAATTTTGTATTTTGATAGAGTGATCCACCTAGAGTTTAATATTTTTAAAGATTTTTCAGAATTTCAGTAAAAATGTGAATCAAAACAAATTTTTTATTGAAGTTTAAAGGAGATTTATTAAATTCAAAAAAACGTTCAAAAGAGATTTATTTCAAAAAAACAAAATCCGTATTAGTAAATACTTGCTAAAGTAAAATTTATTAAGTTGATAATTCAAAAAAACAAAGTGTATATTAGTATACTTATCTATACACCAAATCATAAAATCTTTATAAATTTCTTGTATAAGTATGATCCAGAGATTATTTTATAAAAATTTTGTTTAATTGTAAATTAGATGCATAAGTAGTAGTAATAATGGTAAGTAGTATTAATAATAATTACAAGGGGGTATCGCATCTTTTACTTAGAGTTATTTCTTTTGTTAGAATGCAATTGACTTTGATAAAATAAAGAAATCTCATTCATCGACTTATTCAAGAGGAAAATATAAAAAATTTTATAATCACAGATGTTTTTAAGTAAATACTTGATGAAAACGTTTTTGATTTTTCATCAATTATAAAAAGTTAAAAAATACTGTCATTTTTTGCCACAACTAGAAATGTGAATCATTGTTAAATTTTTTCAAAATGCGAAAAATGATGTCAGGGTTAGGGTTATTACTATTTGAATTTTGACTTAATTTTTAAGAGGAAAAAAGTTGAGGAAATGAAGAAAGGAATGAAGAAAAAGTTTTAGATTATTTTTAGTTTTATAACCTTTTCCCGTGAATTTTTGTTTTTTTACTATATCACACTGTCTTTTTGCTGACATTTGACATTAGATATAAAAAATTATTTGCTCTAAGGAAATGATACATAGTCATGATACATGTTTTTGACTAAATTTGAATTTATTTTTTAAGTATTATCCATTAAAAATACTTTTAAGATAACAATAATTTTACGTCAACAAAAGTATATTGGAATAAAAAGAAAGAACATTGGAATAAAAAACAATAATTTTACGTCAACAAAAGAACATTGGAATAAAAAACAATATTTTTACGTTAACAAAAGAGCATTGGAATAAAAAATAATAATTTGTTAATTGTAAAAAATAATGTAAAAATTGTAAAAAATAATGTCAACAAAAGCATATTAAAATATTGAAAGATTGAAATGAAAAACGAGAATCATAAAAATTTGACATAAAAAGAAAACAGTGACAAACTTTTTAAAAATCAATTGATTTGTGACATGGCTGCTTGAGTGGTTTTTAATAAATTTGCTTGTGCTGTATTAGGATTTGTGCAATAGGAACAGAATAATCGACAATTATTTGTAAATATGTAGATAAAGTTATTCTTAATAATCTTTACCTTGCAATATGTTTATCTCATCTTATTTACTGTTGTCAGGTGACATCGGGAACTATTAACAACTTGTTGTCACAACATCAATTTATTAGAACTTTTATACATTATTTATATATTTTTAATCCAGACAAACTATAGTTAGGTCAAAAATTTTAAATTCCAAACTTTTCAGCCCTAGTAAAGTTTGCTAATCTTTTTTTTCTTTTTTTGACTTATTAAGTAAATGTTTAGCATCTTCTATTACAAACTTTTTTACAGTAGTTTTTTATACTAGACTTACAAATGCATACTCTTCTAGAAATACAAATGCTTAATGTATCATAAAGAGATATGATAAACATAATGTATCATAATGTATCATAATGTATCATAAAGCTCAGAGATATGATAAACATCTATCAGCATCAATGTGCGTCTGTGAATGGATTTAAAAACAAGAATTTTTTCCAGCATTGTGAATAAAAAATCTACACCTTCACCTTTATTGTCGTTTTCTACAAATGTCTGTGAAAAAAAATTCAATAAAATTTTTATTCCAATTTCTTGACATGTACTTTTATTATTGATAAAAGTTAATGTTAAAATAATATTGTTTTTTTCTTTTTCTCTTGTTATTTCTTCAATTATTCACAATGTCGCAAAGTGCAAATTAAATTGAAATTTCTGTCCTCATTCCTTCAATATTTTCTCCACACCCATCATATGCAAACTTTGGATGTGGCTTTTTTTTTTTTTTTTAAGCCGTACAATTTAGCTTTATAAGCTTTTTTTATTAATGAATCATTGATTCAAAGCTGTCCAGTTATGTTCAAAACTAGCTATGATCAGCTTTGAGCATTTTGCGTTCAAAACATGAGTGAGACTATTTTCGGCTCAAAATTTTTGCTCATACTATAATGTAAAATATATTTTTAAAAATCAAATATTATTAAATTTCGTTTTTTCATTAAAATGTTATTATTATTATTTTTTAGGCACTGAAATGGCGTTGATCAAAACTTTAAAATTATTAGGATCTATAATTGTTTTATACATTTTGAGAAAATAAGATTTTGTAGAATTTATATTTTAATATTTATTTACTAGCGCGGAAAATTTTTTTTTAAAAAACGGAACTGTCTGTGTTGTAATAAATTTAAGTCAAAGTGTTAAGTGATGTTAATTTTTACTAATTTATTGTTTTGTTTGTTTTTCAAGAATATTGAGCGTAATTTTTTGTAGAATTTGTTAATTTAATTGATTTCCTTAGTTGTCATTTTAATAGTGCTATATTCGTCAAAACAAAACTGCTTATCCGTTTTTCTCTGGGAACGGAAAAGAAAGGAAAAATTATTACATAAGCATGTTTCAAACAAATTAAAATTTAAGTTACGCGTGCTGACGTGATTTTTCCTTTTTTTGTTCCCCTAGATAAACGGATGATTGGAAACTGATCATAATGTGGTGGATAATGAGGCAATTTTAAAATACTATAGCGACTGTATGATATTTTGTTGACTAAGGCATATTTCCGTTATATGATCAGGTCTGTGAATTATGAAAAAACGAAAAAAATTAAAATGATAAATTTTGCGGTATCATAAAACATAAATGTTTATAGCGAAAAAAGCCAGACCGAAGATTCTTTTTTTTTAAAAAAAATCTTATTAAAATGTCCACATTTTAATAAGATTTTACACAAATACGTTTTTTAGGTGAAATAAGCATTATAGTTTAACAATATGATCTGTTCTGATCGTTTATTAGCAATTTTTCTTAATTATAAGCTCTCTCTTGGTTGGAATTCTAGTATTTTTTGTGAAAATTGATAGAAATATTGTGTTTTGACAACTATATATAGTTAATATGCGTCAGAACCAATTAGAAACGTTTGTGCGGCCGCGGCGCAATGGTTAGAGCGCTTGCTTAATAAGCAGGAGATCCAGGTTCGAAACGAGCTCTGAGCGTCGCGGTAAGGAAGAAGGCGTGAACTTCCTGGTTAAATGCATTTCCGCGGTGCTCTGTGACAAGACCGTTAGGTCTTCTTGGGACACTTGAAAATAAAAAATTACCGGATGATGATGTCTAAACTAATTGAATAACTATCAGACCGTTAATTTTGTGTGGATCATTTTTGATTAATGAGGCAATTAAATAAGAACACCAAGTAAATATTGTTCTTGATTTATGTAACAAAACTCTTTGATAACTTTGCAACTAGATATCCAGTTACTTTATGAAACACATACAGCCATAGAGCCGAAGGGAAACAAAAGACAAAGTTATATTAGAGTAAATGTGAGTTGAGTAAGTTTCGAAACAATTGGTTAGGTGCAGGGCTGTGGAGTCGGATTTGCGACATTTTTAGCAGAGTCGGAGTCGCTAAACAAAATCTCCGACCCCAATAATAAAAATTCTCGGTATTGCACGTGCATGTACAAAACATTCAACTTTATGTTCATACTAAACCTCAAAGAGCGTTTCACAAATTTGTCAAAAAAGAAATTTTTAACTTATCGTGTAATATTTTTGAAAGAATTTAAAGAATTTTTCAAAAATTTTGCTTTGGAGTTGGAGTCGGAGTTGTGCTCAAAAAATTTCAACAACTGGAGTCGGAGTCGTTACTTTTTTTTTACGACTCCACACCCCCTGGTTAGGTGTCTAATTTAAAAGCAAATAGCTTCGTGGAAGAAATGGTAGTAATTATTCATGTCTATCTCCAGAAGTAAAAGAAATACTGGCCCGATTAAACTTACTTTTATAGAGCTATATAAAGTTTGCAATGAGGACAAGTGATATTCAGTAAATAAAAAAGAAACATAATCAATACTTATATATTAGTTGTACCTTATTTCAAGGTCACATATCTCGGAGAATGGACTGTTAAAACATTAAATTTTAGTTTAATTTTCCGAGTCGTTTTAATTTTTTTATCAACACTTGGACTTCAGTGTAATTTTGTTAAATCTTTGTTTTTTCGTTGTTTTTTTAAGTAATGTTTTGTGGCGTCACTACTTAAAGTTTTAATTTCTAGATCATCATTCAAGTTACAGGGATTGAGGCACTAATTTTTATTTTGGGGGCCAAAAAATCCTTGTTTAACAATATCCTCCGTTGGGAAGTAAAAAACCTCTCTAAACGCTCTAAAACAGCTCATTTTTATAATGTAAAGCGTATTAAAAGGTAATAAAACAAACATGAAATGAAATGCCTAGGCTAGACATGGGTAAAGATGGGCATTATGCTGTTGTTTTTATTTTTTCTCTGTTAAATCAGGTATTAAAACAAACATGAATCAAACATGAAATGTTTGTTTTAATACCTGATTTAACAGAGAAAAAATAAAAACAACAGCATAATGCCCATCTTTACCCATGTCTAGCCTAGGAAGCCGCTGCGAGGCCAGGGCGCTTGGAGAGGCCAGCCAGCAAAAAATCAATTATTTTTTTTTTAATTAGCTAAAAAAAAAGTTTTTTTCAACGAATTATAAAAACTGAAAAAAAAGTTACAATTAACTCTTTATATTCAATTTTTAACCTTGAATCTATTAAATAAGAGGGGAAAAAAAAAGTAATTTTCTTGTATACAGGTTAAAAAAATTTGTCTGCTGCATTACTTTTGCAAAACTTTTGCAATAAACGTGTAAATTTTGTTACATCGCGTCTTAAAATGTTTGCGTGAAAGCTTTATATCAGCATTAAAATAAATATAGGACTAAAATTATTTATTGTAACGTTTAAAAATCAAAATAAAAAGCAGGCTGCGTAATACAAAAAAAAAAAAAAAAGAAAAAATTATTTTCTTTAAAATTACTTTTTTTAAAAAAAAGTGATTCAAATAAATATTCAATCAAATAAGTAAAAATACTAATGAAAAAACTACCGATCTTTCAGTATACAAAACATAAGTTAGAATTAATCAAGTAAAAGTCTGAAATGATCAAATGATAACATGGATAATCATACAAGAGAAAATCTATGGTCAAAAAGAGAAAAAGGCAAATTTAAAACGAATCGCAAACCTAAATGTTGTCGCGTCTTTGCCAAAGTTCGCTACATTTTTCGCAAAAAACAAACTGATGGATTATCACAAGAGACGGTGGATTCTTGCATATGTTGCAGCTCTGGATTTGTTGGCTAATAATGAAGATCTTAATAAAGAGAAAGCATTGGACTCCATTAGTGTGCGCAGTAAAAAATTAGCTCAGAACGTCGAAGTATTTTCAACCAACCTTTGCGATGCTTCCGAAAAAGAGTTATTTTTACGAAAACTAGTAAATAGAGAGAATAAAAAAAGCAATTTGCTGGTATATTCTGCTTAGAGTAGTAGTGTTTATTGCAAGTCTTGCTTTTTTTTCGGTAAAACTAAGAGTTCTTTAGCGAACAAAACAGGTTTTGTAACTGGAAAGTTGCTCATAAGGCAATCAATGAGCAATCTGCTAAACATAGTAATCTATCTTTATCTTTGTTAATCAAAGGGAATGCAGTTCCAAGATTGATTGTGGTTTTGTTAAACACTTTCAGAGTGAAATGGAATATTGGAGAAATGTGTTGCGTCGGATCGTGTCTGTCAACAAATTTCTTTCTTCCAAGTAAAGTTATAAGGTTTTTATAAAAAAGATTTTAAGATTACTTATCTTGATCTAATAATATTTAATTATGTAGACTTATTAACTAAAACTTAATTATGTAGACTTATTAACTAAAATCTAAAGAATTTTTTTTTGACCCATCAGAAGGTTAGCATTTCGTGGATCAGAAAATTGGATCATGTCATGGAAATTTTCTTGGCTCGTTAGAGTTTCTAGCTGAATACAACCCATTTTTTGCTAAACATTTAAATACTCACGTAAACCAAGGTAAATTTAGCACTTAACACCGTTTTCCACAAAACTGGAAAACGGTGTTAAGGTTCAAATAAATCTCTGGCCGACTAGATTGTCTGTGCGTGCAGATGCGTGTTCTGCTCTTCAAATGGAATATTCTATTATAAGGTATAATTATTCGAATCAGTATTTTAAGTTCTTAGTTGTCAATAGTACGTATATTTGTAGATATGAAATATAAATATTTAAACTTCAAGGTAGACTTAAAAGAACTGAACAATGACAAAACGCAACAGCCAAACACAACAATAGAAGCTAGTAGACTTCTCAGGAAAATAGATCAGCTGGAGATAACAATCATGAAAGTCATCTGGAACACAATTATGGAAAAGTTTGACAAAGTGAACAAAATGCCTCAATCCGTTGAAATCGACTTATCAGTGGTGAATGAACTGTATAGCTCTCTTTCAATTTTTTTCAAGAGGTACCTCTTGAAAAAAAAAATTAAAAGAGAGCTATACTGTTATATAAAACATACGTAACCTTACGTAAGATTACGTTTTAACATATTTGAAAAAGAAGCAATGGTGTTGGTGGGCACCAACTTGTACTATGCTGACCAGAAACGAAAAAGAGCGCTAAAAAGCTAACATGACAGATTGACATCCATTGAGGCAACAAAAATTAATGGAAGTGGAAAAATGATTGCTGAAGTTAGTATTGTAAGAATGTACTCTGAGATGGATAGATTTCCGCTGAAGTTCAGTCAAGGTATTCAAACGATACTAAATATAGGTTATTTATAAAATATTTGCCAAACATCTATAGTCCAGAATCAGTATATTTTTGGGAATGTTGGTGTTTTTCTGGTTTAAGAGCGTATGGTTGTTGTAGTCACATTGCTAGCATCATTTTTTTTTGTGTTGTAGAAAGTATTTGGAAAAACTAATTCCACTGCAAAAATGATAATACTGCAAAATTTTTATATTATCCATTTTGTTTATTTGTAGAGGTGTTTAAAAAAGATGATTATGACCTAAATATAAATGATATCCCATTATCATTTATATTTAGTTCATCTATATAAAATTTGTTTCAATTTTATATGTTGCAGAATATATAATAATGATACAAACCACTATACAACATTTTTACACAACATTTTTATTAAATTGTGAATTATATTTAGTTGATGATTTAAGTAAAAAAAAATTTTTATTTAGTTGATGATTTAAGCAGTTC